TGAATGAGTTTGAGATGGTGGGAAAAAGATTCATTAATGAAGCTCTCCGTTGGCATAAAGATACTGCAAGAAGTCTTTGAATAGTATACTCCAGAACTTTGAGAATAATAATTTGGTAACAGGAAAAGAAAAAGATACAACAAGAAGAACTTGCCAAGGGAATGAGAAGGCTCGATATATTCTTTCAAACCACTGAAACACTAGTTACTACACCAGTAATGACACTATCTGCACTATCCGTACTATCCGTATTATTCACATTATTCGTATTATCCACATCATCTGCTAAAACCATAGAAAATCTACACAGATGGTTGAAAGAAGCTAACCAATGATGTTTAATCACCAAATTTTTCAAAATGAATAGTCAAATTTTTACATATGATTATTTGCGCTTTCTAAGTATATACTGATTTATATAATTGCTGCTTGATAAACAAGGTAAAATGGATGCCAGCAATCAGATTGCACAAACCATGTGAAATAAAGATGACTATATGGCGAGATGCATTCAAAAATGGGGAGATCATTTTATCAAAACAAGAGAGTTGCTTATCTATCACCAAGGAAGATATATAAAGCTGGAGAGTTTGCTTGGCGATGAGGATTTCAAAGTGAAATACCAAGCCTGATTATGATAGCAAGCACCAGAGTCACATTCACCTAGTAGCCTTAAGGTATATATCGAAGAAATATTGTTTTCAAAAATGATAGGACATATCAAAAAAGACACAATCTCTGAGAAAACATGTCAAAACTACATGCATTTATGGGGTTATTCATATAACAAAAGAAAAAAGAGTGTTTATTATGATGGACATGAGCGGTCAGATGTTGTGATATATAGAAATGAATGATTAAAAAGGATATTTTTGTACAAGAAGTATATGAAAGACTTTGATGAGGATATGTTGGACATTGTATTAGAGCCCCAGCTTATGCCAGAAAAGAAGGAGTTTGTACAAGTGATACATGACGAATATTACTTTTATGCAAATAATACATAATGGAGAATCTGGATCAGAAAGAAAGAAGATATTTTACATTCGAAATATATAGAATATTCTATTATGGTTTCAGCTTTTCTTTGTCCATGTCATGGACTATTATAACTATCTGATGAACAATTGCTTGCAAACCCGCATCTTGAATATAAGGAGACTTTTGTTCTTCATTCAGTACAAGCAGATGGATATTGGAAGGTGGAGTATATGTTGAATCAGCTCATAAGTAAGACAATTCTGATATTTGAGATACTACATTCTGAGTGTATTGGTATTTTTTGTTTCGACCAATCAACAAATCATAATGCCATGGCAGAGGATGCATTGATTACAACAAGAATGAACTTGAGTTCTGGTGAAGGTCAGCATAAGATGCGTAATAGGTGGTATACAAATGAATGTGGAGAGAAGTGTATACAATCAATGGTATTTCCAGATAATTACCTGATAGCAAAGTTAAGAGAGCAATCAAAAGGCATCAAGAAAGTACTTGAAGAGCATAATCTTTGGCCAGCTAAGAGAGTTCATTTGACGTGTAAATAATGTTCTGAAAAATATGATGATCCAGCAAGGGTGAATTGCTGTGCATGATGAATTATATCACTACAATCTGATTTTTCTGAATAACGGTCATTATTAGAGAAGGCAGTGATCAAAGCAGGATATATCCTTGAGTAATACCTAAAGTTTCATTGTGAGTGTAACTTCATAGAGTGATACTGGGGGTTTGTGAAGCGGAAAACCAGATGGTCATGTAGTTATAATTATGTGGATTTATTGAGATGGATTTCAGAGACTCTCATTATGGTTTCTGTGATAACCATTCATAAGTTTACGTGCAAGTCGTGAAGATATATGGATGCATATGATAAGGGTTTGGAGGGTAGGGCTGCTAAGTGGGCTGTTAATAAGTATAAGTCACATCATCATATATCTGAAAATATTGAGAGGGTGATAGATTGAAGGCAGAGAATAATAAAACTTGGTTTTTTTTTCCAAAAAAAATGAAAGAAAAGAAATATAAATACATATTGTGCTAATAATGCATGCTTAAAATATTCTTAGTATGTATTAATCAATGATATTGATGTGAATAATGCATGATATTGATAAAATAAGTGGCATTATACGTGATAAAACAACGCAATTTTATTAGTGGATTGTAGTCATGTGATTTGGGGTTAATGGTTAGGATTAGGGTTAGAGTTAGGATTAGGATTAGTTTGAAAATTTGAAATAAAGTCACGTGATTGTCGAGTATAACTTTTCCTAACCATAATTAGAATATAAAATATTTCTAAAAATATTAATAAGTATTATATAAATTCATTTTTAAACTTATAATTAGAATATAAAATATTAATTAATATTATAATTTATAAAATATATTATATTATAATAATTTTAATATACTATTATTTTTGAGATTGGCAATAAAATCATGATAGACTAATTTTTAATTGATAATAATACATTCACATCTCTCTAAGTGCACTTTTTCTAAGTGTATATACTATATAACTTCTTTCTAAATGCATGATATATTCTGATTCTAGCTTATAAGAGCTCTACATATTTTGATTACTATAAATATACATCCCCTCTAAATGCACACTTTTTATTTTTTATTATGATTCCAAGAGGATGCACTTAGAGAGGTGTGATTATATAAGTAATTAAGTAATATTTTTATTAGAACTTGATAATTTATGAATTTTAATATAGTTTTCAAGAAAATTTTTTCATAGTAGTAATAATAATTATATTAATAATTATTATCATAGTATTTTTTTATATTATTATAAATACAATATATAATATTATATTATTTATTATTAGATAAATTTTAAAATGAGTATAATCAATTTTTAATATATTAAATATATTTTCTGACAAAATGATATATAATAAGTTCAATAATAAAAAGCTTTCTTATTAGAATATATTTTCTTTTTAAGATATCAACTGGTAGTTATTTCTTCATCATTAATAGCTTTCAGCTAGATTATTAAAAATATATCTTGTTCAAATCTAGAAAGAGCTCGATGTCTGTTGCTTCTACAACAATTAATTCGGGATTTAACGACGAAGAAGAGAAAGGTAAGCACACACGACTGCATTTGAATCTTTCAAATCTTTTTTTCCTACGAAAGAGGAAGATACTTAAGATACACAAGTTTTTGAAGTTTATCGGAAAGATCAGAAGGAGATGTTCAGGTTTGTTAACATTCCAGAGCCATTAATAAGCGATTTCATTCTCAATAAAACTTAATAATATAGTGTCTAATCCGTCCGAGACACTAAATCCTACTGCGACTGAAATACTAATCCTACTGTAACTGAAATTCCCGAGACAGTTGAGTCTCTTCACAAATATGAAAAAAAAACCAGGTCAAGCACAGAATTTTCTGGATAAGGCTGAAACTTCTCTAAATAACGTACAAAGACACATGTGATAGTTCTTTAATACTATTTCTAACTAATGCCTTTGTAGATCGTGTGGGTCAGAACTTCAGATGGCCTGTTTCGATGAATGATTGTGATAGGGAAACGGCTTTCTTTTACATAGCAGATGATGCTGCCTTGGAATTTGACGATGAAACTGGATTTAATCTCGTCGCCTTCTTTGACAATCTCGATAAAAGCACATTTGATGAGCATAAGGACAACTGGGTGTTGGTGTATAAACAGGAAGTGAAGAAATACGGGTCAAAGCTTACGGGCAAGGAACTATTTGATCTCGAAGGTGAAATGCCTGGTGCAATATACTTACAAGTAGATAAATCACGTCGAGAAGATCTTGTGAAAGTGGCGCCAATAAAGACAGTATGTGTTTTACGTGCTGGAAATGAGCACATGGTCTGATAAATCAGTGCCATAATAGTATAATCATTGCCATTCAATACATACGTGTATTTATCTTTTGTTTACTTATTTACAATAAAGGTTAAAATTCAAGTTAGATACTTAGAACAACGAATTCCGTTACACTTACGTATAATTTTCGTGATCCTAATAATCGCAATAAACTGTACAAAACTATTATTGATTCGGCTGCACCTGAGACGATACTTCCATATCATGTCCGGAGGATGCTTGGAAAAAGAGGATGGCATCCTATCCGTCATTTTGCTACAGGATATGGTGCACCGTCTCGTGTTTATGTTGCATCAATGGCAATTGAGGTGGCGATTGGAGATGATAATAGTTGGAGTAAATGGATAAGAACAGATACTCTTAGAGTTTAGGAAGATTCCCCCGGCGACCATATAGACAGCTCTCTTGTCGGAAACGATGTGTTAGATCAATTTTGCTTTGTATATCAGCCAGCCCAAGTGTATAAATTCCTAAGGGCTTCAGACGAAGTGTCTTAACAAATTTCATTGACAATCTTCCCTAATGTACTTAGTAAACTTCGTAATAGGTTAATGCTTATAGACTTTGCAAATGAAATTGCCAAGCATAAATTAATTGAATGAGTCATTTTCTTGTTACATGTACATGTAATAGTTCGTGATTATAGCAATCGACGTCGAGACTACTGCAACTATAGTAATTTACAACCAACACCTGAACTTAAATATCGTTACTGTAGCAACATTGAGTCCATATTTTCCTCCGAAATACCTGACACAAGTATTTCCATCATGTTTGGACTAATGCCCAGCCCTTTATTAATCTTTGTTTATTACCTCTTTCAATGTTCAATCCGTTTCTCGAGAAACATACAATTTTAGCAATATTTAGTCCTTTAAATACATACCTTTGTTCTACTAATATTCCTTTACTCTCATTCGTATTGTCTTTTCCTATTGTTTGTGAGCGAAGATTCTGCGTAAACTTAATTAATATAGATATAATATCGATATTTTTTTTATAGAAAAAGGATCGGATATTGGCCTTTGAACGTTATGCTAAAATTAAAAATTATATGTATCGATATTATTATCGTAGTATCAACAACCCTTCTAAAAACAAAAGTTAATAAAAAATAAAAATAAAATGACTACCGAAATTTCACATTCAAACAAGCTAGCTGAATTTTATGAAAAGGGCAATTTTTTGCGATATTTCAATAATTGCTTGTGATGGAAATGTGCAATGCACCTTTACCGCACATTCATCAATTTTAATGGCGCAGTCGCAAAATTTTGCTGTGGCATTTTCTGATCCATGGGTGAAGCGAGAACCATACAAAATGATTGTCTTTAAGAAACCAAATATCTCACCACGTTTATTTGAAATCTTGTTGAGGATGTCAATATTTAATAAACGAGACAGACAAATAAATTAAGTTTATTTTATGATGTGTTAGATTTATGTATTGCGGCAAAATTAACTTGAAAGTATCGACGCTTTTGGACTTATTGATTGCTGTAGATGAGTTTGATTCTTAATGATCTAATTGAATATATTCAAGATTTTCTTTGGAGCACCATATCGATTCTATGAAAATTTTGCCTTAATTAATCAAATCGTATTCGAACACAACTCTCACAAATTTTGCATGGATATTGCATGTAAAAATCCTGCCGCTGTTTTTCATCGAATGATTTTGCACAACTGCAAGAGACTGCACTGGTTTCTTTGCTCAGACGCGATGATTTGAATCTTCAAGAAATCAATATATGGAAGAAGGTTCTTGAATGGGGAATTTCTCAAGACTCCAATTCTGAGAATGTTGATTTTTCGATCCCCGTAGAGAGATGAACACAAAACGAATTTACAAGGGAATGCTAAAGTCGCAAGATACAACAATGAATTCATTTGATTTAAAGCTATTGTTACGAGATAGTCGAGATAGATTATCTGCCGTTGATTTTCATCGACTTTGTGACAACAATGGTCTACCATTCGGGTTAAAGATTCGAAAATAATTGGTGGGAACACGGGAAAAAAATTTGGCGAGATACGAATATCTCGCCATTGAAGAATAGTATGGAGTCAAAGGTGACGGCAACATTAGTATTGAAAGCAGTATTAATACATGTATATACTTAACCTGAGAATCTTGTTGATTATCATTAAATATTGAATTAATAAATAAATAGATTTTTATCTCTTTCGAATTTACATTATACAATATGTCAAATTTTACGAATAACTACTAATATTATACGACAACGTCCAGTTGTGGCTTTTTGACATGTCGTCTTGAGATACATCTTAGGAAATGTAAAACACCACCATAAGTTTGCAACGTAGTTCTAAATATTTTACTAGCGTCAGTTAGAGTTTTACTGTTTCAATTAAACTCAAATATTGCAAATACATCATTTGCTACCATATAATGTAATACCGTATATCTCCGAATATAAGCAACCCCCGAATATAAGCACCACCTCTTTTTAAGACCTGAGGTTCTGAAAATATTATAATAAATTTATACTCGAATATAAGCAACCCCCCTCTTTGCCCTGCCAAAATCTTGCATTTTTTGGTTGCTTATATTGGGAGATATACGGTAATCAAATTTATCAAATACATGTCATTGAGTGTCATCAAAAGTTTTACGTAAAACCATACTAAAAATAAAGCGTTGCAAGCTATCCGACTAAACAAATGCGTCACGACAAATATTCCTAATACCTACAGTGCATACAAGCTAAAACCGATCAATCACGTGACCTTGTTTCAATTTTTGAAAATTTTAACCGAAAATTTGAATTGATACAAAAAAACGATTTATGATACTTTTTTGATGTGTCACGTGACTCCCATATACTACTCACGTGAAACAAAATTGATTAATATATATTAAGAGTTGCAATATCATGAAATACTGAATCTGGAACTCTTCTGTGTGATTGATACTTTTTTACTGCATGTTCAGCAGCCTTTCCTGTTAAACCCTTGTGGTATATATCCATGTAATGAAAAGCTTTTCTTGCAAAATGCTGGATAGTTGGCAATGATACTGAATCTAATTCTTTTGGAACAGTTTCTTGTAATCCATTCCAAGTGTGATTACAATTTGCACATGTGTATATTTTAGTGGCATCCCAAAAATTCTCTATATAATTAAGTTCACAATGAAATTTTGGATAAAAAATAATCTTATGTCTCATTGTAATAATCACTTCTTCCAGCCAGTATTTTTGTTCCATAAAGTCAGATTCATTAGCCATGATCATAACTGCATAACAGTTTGCAGCTCCTAATTCACACCTATTCTTGCATTTTAAATAAAGACCTGCTTGCCATAATCCACATTCAGACAATACAATGCATAATCCTTTTGGTTCTTCTTGAAGTAAAATATCTGAATAATTCAAAGAAAAAATCATATCTTGTAAAATTCCATTTCCAAAAGTTGTGGATCTAAAAAAAATAGTATAATTAACATAAAACTAATAAAATATGCTATCTATATAGTTAACATACCTTATTTTCAGTTGCTTTCCTTTTGGTCCTAAGTTCATTCTTTTAGTCACAAGAGCATCAGATGCAAAGGCCATATGACTAGTTGCATTATCAAAAGCAAAAACTCCAATTGTACCAGGAAACCATTCTTTAAAAATAGGAATTACCTTATCTTGCACTTGTGTTATAAGATCTTTACCTGTCCACCAATCATCACCATTGGCACCTGGAATCATAATAATACACATCTCTTTGGGATAGTTTGGAGAGTTTGCCTTATAATAAAAAATTATTACCATGTTTACTATATAATAATGTTTAAACTTTTAAAAAGATTAATTAATATACCTCTAGCTTTAAACATCCATATACATCCGTCAAAAATTCACTAACATATAATGATCATCCCTGTTCTTTCTTTCTTAATGATTGCTCACCTTTAGGCATCCAACATATTGACATCCCATCATATGACGAAAACACATATTCATCATGTGTGATAAGTATATGTGGCTTTTCTCCAGAAAGTAGCTCTGGCCATGTTTCTATCTTTATGTTCTCACCATCAAACACTGGCATTAACTTTTTTAACTCTAATATTTTACGTAAAAATACCATCCAGTATGTCATAATATCTTTTTGTTCATGACTATCAATATACATTCTCTTTTTTGCACAAGAAAATTCATAACCAAATACTTTTAAGTAATTACATGCCATATTAACATGAATTGTTAGAGGTGGGTCAAATTCAAGATCTTTAAAATATAATAAAATGAACATAGGTATTATTTCTGTATTTTAAAAAATTTATGTACAATGTATTTATCAGAAAGAACGTTTTTATTTATGTATTCTGTCAAAGTCTTTGGAGATACTTCGAACTTATTAGATCAGATAAAAGATTTTATTTGGCTAATAATATCTTCATCCCAGAGAAATGTAATAGTTTTAATATGGAAACTGCTTCTTGTTACCTAATAATTAATAAATTTTGAATGATCACTTCATATTCAAAATGAGCAAACAAGTTTAAATTTTAATTACCAGAAATGTCCGAAATTTGATATAGTTGTTTGTCCATATTTGGATATTTTGAGCATGATATGGTCCTTGATCAAGAGCCTCACTAATTGTTATTGTCACATTTATTTTTGGCCATTTTTTATAAAAAAGATTAAGATATTAGTGTACAGATTAGAGACGCAACTTGAGAATAGAAGACTTTTGTCATTGAATATCCCTCTGAATGTCTCTTACTGCGATTTTTAGAGTATCTTCTTCTTTCTTCTCCTCTTCTTCCTCCTTCTTCACTACTACCACCGCCGCCACCACCTTTTTCTTTTTCTTCTCTGCTACCACCTCCTTCTCCTTCTCTGCCACCACCTCCTTCTTCTCCTCTGCCGCTATCTCCTCAATATCAATGTTCTCAATCTCATATTCCTCTAGCAATTCAATAGGAATTTCAGATTTTTTTTTCTTGTCAGCATTTATAAAAAATACCTTCAGAGTTGGTGTTTGCATCACCGCTTTTTTGAAGGAGATTTTTTGTCACTATCTTGTCATTTTCAAGTTACCAATATATACCAAAGGTCTTTGGTCATTACTTACCCAAGCTTTACTTGTCTCCATAAGCCTAAATATCATATTTCTGTGATTTTTGCTCATGATTTGGTCATTATTTTCATTAACATCAAATCTCTAGCCAAAGTCATCACCTTTGCTTATGATTTGGTCATCGTCTTCATTAATATCAAACTCATAATCAAAGTTATCACTTGAGTGATTATCTTCATCTGGCTCATTTCTCCATCTTTTCTTTCTTCGAGTCTTCGATGTAATAGCTGTTTGCTACTTTTTCTTAGACAGACAAGACATAGAGTAAAATTCTGAGATTAGCTGTGACCAATCAAAATTTAATCATATGCATGAATCATCTGCCACCAATAAAATTCATTTCACGTGCATAGAGTTATGTTTTAATTTGATCACAATCATTAGTGATAATTAATAAACTTTGAACGTCTATAGCATTCCTTATATTTTGAATTTTGAGAAAAATTAATTATTATAATATTTGCCCAGGCCTTCTTTATCAAATAATGGTGAGTTTTAATTGAAAAAAAATTTTCAAAAAAAGTAGTAAGAGCTTGAAATTTTGTGATTGATTTTAGCTTGTATGCACTGTAGCCATGGCAAAAAAAGTGTCGGATCATGTGATTTTTTAGGGGTAAACCAATCAAATCGCAAGATCAATGTGTAACGGAAAAAATTCAAAACAAACGGTTTATCCCTTAAAAAATCACATGATCCGACACTTTTTTTTTGCCTTGGCTAGGATATTAAAATATTCCCACAAATATACGATTGATTTATTTATAAAAGGGTTCATTCGTCTCATTTTGATTTCTCACTTTCTTCTCTCTTCTCTATTTACTCCTTTTCTTGCCTGTATTCACTTTTGCTTGTTTGTTAGCTTTCCTTATTTTGCCCACACTCTTGTTATCTCTCGCGTGTCCGCACTCTCACGCTCATGCTCTCGCTCGCTCACTTGCTTTGGTTCACTCGTCCACTCACTTTCGCTTGCCCATTCCTATTCTCGCTCTTGCCTACACTCACTTGCTCCTCGCTTTTGACCACTTTCCATTAACCACTCTTGGTTGTCCACTTGATTGTTTCATTCGCTTGCCCATTCGTTTTTTCTCAATAGATTTTTATGGAGGTAATTTTTGTGGAAATTATGTTAAGGGTAGTGTTGGTAAGCGGATGCGGTATAGTCGATTTAATGTTAGAGGTATGTATAGTTATCATACGAACGGGGTGTTTTCTGAAGAGGTGATTGGAATAGATTAGGTCTATTGATCGGAGTCATCAGACGGAATTTGTCGCCGATTTCATTCGATCTTTTGACTAACATCCTATGTTTATTTAACCAAAAGGGATAGATATGTTTATGATATGCGGTGGCATAGTTAAGGATGCCAAGTCTATTCAATCTTTGAAGTGTAAGTTTATAGTTGCTTGCTTTTTTGTCGTTGCACATCAGATCTATCCTGACATTTTTTCCAAACGAACAGCTTACACATGTACGACACGGAATCATGCGCAAATTACATGCAAGCTTAGATTCTTTAATTATATATAGGTGAATGGGTGCACACATTTGCTAAATGAATGTATCGCAGTCACGCCCCATGAAATCTTTTGCAAGGCGCTGCCAATAGGTGTTCAGCTGCTGCATCTGAATCTGACTGGGATATTTTGGTTAATAGCATATATAGCTATGAGTTGTGATGTTGTGCTTGTTTATTTTATTTCTTTATTAGATGCACTCAATCAAACTACCTTCACCCCCAGTTATAACCGCAACAGATCTTTGTCAACATTGCATGTGTTGTGCGATCTTGAAAAGGAGCCGACGCTTTCCGTGATTATCTCCTAAATCCAGGACTCGATAGCTGTAAATCTTCTGGACGTTCATAAAGGGTGAGTCTCAACTGTATATTGTTTGGGTTCGTTGTGTTATGTCGAGTCGTTGTGTATCTGAAGTTACGCTCCACATTGATTCTGGGAATTGAAAGCGCATCGTGGCCACTGTTTCGACAGTGAACGTTCTTCCCAGTTTGAGATGTC